TTTATAGAATTTTTGTATTTAATTTTTCTATCAAAATGTTTTTATCTTTATAACCCAATCATTATGTATTTTTTTTTAAAATCCCATAATTTTTAATTTCATGTCAAGAAATTTCTATATAGAAGTAAATATCTCTGAATACTTTGCCTTTTGTTTGTTTGTTTTACATCTCTTCGAGAATTTTACTCATAAAGAGACACTACCACTTGCCAATGGAGGCTAGGGCTGCAAATTTTTACCTATACAGGACACTCAGAACCATTGAGCAGTGAGGGATTTTTTTTTGGTGCCAGCATCTACTGCGAAATGGGATCTCGGTTTATACGGTCTCATCCGAAGGGTCCGTTTCTGAACGCATACCGCAGTGGGATTCGAACCCAAGACGTAATGATCAACACATTACTTTGAATCTCTAGAGCAAACGATTTTGAACAACTGTGCAACGCGAGTGACATTTACTATTTGTGATTTTGATTTGATGCAAATTTCAGTGTAATTGAACACTATATAGCTGAGCTGGACAAGTTTTTCAAACTTTCAATGAATTAAAACGATCGACTTGAATCTGTTTTGATTTTTTTTGAAAATCAGATGTAGTTTAACGAGCTATTGCAAGAAATAAAACTGTTGTAATTATGAGAATCGATCTTTCTCACATATCGATCACTGGTCTTAATAAGCCATTGTGTCCGCACACGCATGTATTCATTCATTTTAACTGTTTTATTAATAAAATCAAATGAAACATTTTTTTAATGATAACGTACTACTGCAATACACTTTTATATGCAGACGTGTTGAAATGCATTAACTAATGTAACACACATTTTTCAAGTTCAGTACTAGTGTTGTACACGTGACCCACTGAATGCTGACAAATTCATGAAATTTAGGATTAAAAATTAATGTCATCTGAAATTGTCACACATTTACTTCTTTCTTTATAAGTAATTCTTATCTGCAGACTGGTCAAAAACACTCAGTCTTGTCGGCAAGGTCGGAAAGGAATTTTCTGGACCGATAACGTACACTGAAGAAAACAGTGGTCCAAACGACCGTTTAAAATATTGAACGTGATGCAAATTTCTTAAACGCTGTGCCTAGGTAAGGGCCACAAAACGCCGAAAACGTCCGTATGGTGCCGATTGTCGATCAAAATTGTTAAAGCATGTCTCTGATTAGAGACTCTGTATCATAAGATAGGATTTTTTGTGAGATCGAATATCATAAAACTTAAAAGACATCTTATTTTAGTGCTATTATTTTTTTCTCTTTATCAGCGATCCAGCGTACAAAATAAGACGCATGTATCTGGTCTGACAAATCTTTGTCCAGTCTAACAGATCATTTGACTTTGTCAGACCAGATGTCTGACAGTGATTCAAAAATTTTGACAACTCTGCTCTGAAAATCACTGCACGGTAAATTCATTTACAGTTGTACAGACTTTACAGTTGTGTCTGTCCAAATGGACCTAGAAGCATAGGTGAAATATTTGCGAGATTTTGCCATGGTTTATTTCCTTCTTCACATGACTATTAATTGTTTGGAAGTTTGAAAAATAACAACAACAAAAACAGGGATAGACATTAACTTTTAGATTTACTTGCCCTTCGGGCAAGTGATCTCAAACTTTGACTTGTCCGAATGCAAAACTTGGTTGCCCAAAATAAGGAAAAAACTTCAGAATAAATTTTTATTACTGTAAATGTTACGACAAGAAAAAATGTGTATTTGGTTTAACACACACTGCCATATGTAGCAATAACGCTCCGTTTTATAAAATTCATATTTTTAAACTTATTTTCGGTAGGATTCTTTTGTGAATCGTGATTTTCTGAGATAACTGTGAAACAACGCTGAAGGAAGATAGTTGCTACGTAACATACATCGATCTTTACCTTAATGATCAGGATACATCGTGTTACTCTGTACTTATATTCTGTGAGTGAATAAATAATCTACTATCCAAATTTCCAGAGATGTTAGACGAACAGCATATTTACCAGGGAAAAAAACGGAATAACGAACCGGATTTTCAAATGAAAAGTATAATCCAGAAATGCTGACAAGGAATTCCGAATGCAAAAACAATGTCAGGTACCTGGCGGAAATCAAGTCTTCAATTTATTGGGGTTTTTAAATACAAATTAATGTAAACTAAATAAATATGTACATTTCTATGAGAAATATTCACTTGTACGTCGTAAGATTCACTTGCCCGAACTGAGAATTTACTTGTCCCGGGCAATCGGACAACCGTTAATGTCGATCCCTGAAAAAAGCAGTTTCAGCTTGTTATATGAATCTTACGTAAACGGTTATAATTTGTTGTTTTTCCCACTTAAAATTTACATGTACATGTAGTTCAAATGTCAGACTCGGCTGTTCCGACTTATTTTATCAAGAATTTCATATGTGAAATGCTTATAAATTTTATGCTACAACATGAAAAAAACTTGAAAACTCAAAAAGCTTAATCTAGTAATTTATTTTAAAGTTTCACCTTTCTGTGTACGTTAATCACCTTCTCTTCGATTTTCTTCCTCTTCGATGTTAAACGTATTAGGATTCAATATTAAACGAACAATTGTTCATTTATATCCCAATCAATGTACATGTAATTTATTTATTCTTTTGATATTTATTGTATTACCAAATAAATATTGTTGAAAACTTCGAATATTTATGGCTGAAAAAAAAGTTATAACATTGATTGTGAAATAATTTTTACCACACGTTAGTCAATGCAAAGAGGTTTCGCGCAGTCATGTAGTTACATGTGTGCAGAGTTGTCGTTAATTTCCTCTCATTGTTTATAGGTGCCGCTGTATGTGCTGCAAGGGAGGTTCGTGACGACAATTTTCAACATTTTTTTTTTAGTTCTGTATAGATCAATTTTAATTTAATCAAAATATAGTATTTAAATTAAGTTAAATGAAATTCAATTGCATTTAGTTTCATGTCATTTATCAAAATTAGATAAATTCAGAAAATTGAAATAGACTATTTTATGGCGGACGTTTATGCAAATTTACATTGAATATCACAGGAGTAAATTGGTCGACACAGAAGCCCCACGGACGGCCACTATATAATCAATACAAATTACTGCGCTTAGAAATCCCGTGATGACCAAGGGAGATTGAACATAGTTCAACTCCCAAAAAAGGCTTTATTTGCTAAAACAATATTTGCTTGTATTCAGTTATATTCTATACTATTATTGTCCAACTCTTCCTTACTTGATATGTCCATGTACCTTATACACCATTGCATGGTCTGAGAGTAAAAGTAACTAAAATTCAGAATTATAAATCTGTAAACTCTTGTTTTTCTCAAAGATTCCTTTTAATAAACATATGATAATGTATAGTTTATCTCAGATGAAGATATGAAGTACAGTGTACAGCAAGATTTGTAACTCAACACCAGAAACAAGTATGTAATAGCATCAAAGTAGATTTTAACTCATTCAGGAAGTGTGTACTGTGTACAAGTACCCACGGACAAAACTGATCATGAGTTTGATTTGATTAATACAACCACAGTTTATATAAAGGCATCAATTATTTATAAATCATGAATCAGTTTGTAAAATTTACCAACAAGATTTCAAGGAATGCCCCCCTGGGAAAACTTCATCAATATTCAGTGAATTGCTTTACCAGGAAAGATAATGATGTAACTATAATTCAATAATCCATACCTGAATCCAAAGTAATTATGTAATTTCAAAGCAAATAATATTTGATACCATTCTCAGTCTAACATGTGTGAAAACATTTGGAAGGACAGTTACCTACAGATGATGTTTAATCATTTTAACTTGTGGGGGGTCATTGTTCAAAAGCAATCAAAACTTAACTGGTTAGAGGGGATGTAATTTCGTTAGTAACTCGCATTTACAGAAGATTTAATAAATCAATAATCTGACAAAGTTTATTCATGAGGATGTAATTCATGGTTTAGGGTGACTCAAGAAATCCAAGAACATTGGTCCCCCAAGAACAATGATGATTCCTATCCACACAGTAAATCATTTGAATATCTGACCTCCATATATGGTATTAAGGTCTGTTGTTTATCATAACTCTTGATAAACATAATGTAACATCCAGTTGATGATGTTGACCCAAAATTTTAATGATTCTTTTGATAATCAAATGTATAATTATTAGTAAACAAACACATTTAAAGCCAAGTACAGGTGTTTTAATATAACCTGTGACATTCTCTATATATGAAAGATCTGTACTATATATTCGCAGTAAACCAATAAATTCGTGGTTTTGTTTTTTTAAGTCATGGTGGACAAAATATTGTCTAGAAGCACAAACAATTTCAGGCACCACTGTCCAAGTTCTACATTCTTAACAACAGTGGCAAAAGAAAGATCATTCTTGACTGATCAAATAGTTGTTCTGATTTGACAGAGGACAATTGGGAAAGTTAAATGAATATTGAATTTAATTGAAATCCTAGATATACTGTATGTGTACTTAAAAAAGCGGGCTTCATATTTTAGCAGCTTTGGCGCAGACAACGATGTGCTAATTCATGAATACATCTAAGAAATCATACATAAAATATACAGCACAGACATGTATAGCGCTAATTAAAGATTTCGCCAACAACTCCATACCCAGTGATTGCGCTAAATTTTGATATGTCAATTTATGTACACGCACAGTATAACAACAAAAACAGTAAAACACGCTTATAACAAAGTGTCAGGGACGGACAATTTTGCTTTGTTATAAGCGTAATTCCGTTAATTGTTAAATATATTTTAAAGTCAAGGGTACTAAAAATCACTTCGCTATAAGTGTCAATTCATTACAGGTGTGCTCACTGTAAGCATGTTTTACTGTACATAGCTCTATTAAAAAAAACAACTGAGCATCTGAACAAAGGTAATCTGTAGTAATGTACAAATATCAAAGATCTCTCTCTCTCTCTTTCTTCCCCCCCCCCCCCTCTCTCTCTCTGATACTTACATCCTGTATCTTTCAGCTGCTGGATTGCATTAGATTTTATTTGGACACACCCCAAGAAACCTGCCCCCTGCTTTTTGTGGATTTTTTTGTGGTTCCATACACTGATTGTTATGGAGTCTTTTGGACCGACATATCTTGAAAAACAGAGATTTATGAAAAATATATTTTTTAAAATAAGTTCTTATGTTTAATTTTAAATGTTAAACTGGATGTATCTCAATCACAATTAAGAATTAAAATAACAATATGAGTGATAATAAGTAATACTTTGGCATTTGCTTATATTTTAAATCACATAATGTAATATTAATTACACAAAATACTTTGTAAAAATAAGGGCAATTTGATTGGCATTTGGCAGGAATCTAAGCACAAGAGAAAATTTCATTGATTTGTCACATGAAATCAGCATTTTTTTTTATGTATAGGGTTCCAGTGAAATAGGAAAGGGAAATATTTTCCCGATTTTGCATTTTGATTTGCTAAAAAATAACTTGAAAATTTGACGGATGAGTCATTTTTAAACACATTTTTATGTTCTGATTTCATAAAATTTACAATAGATAAATTTTAGTTCAGTTGCACCAAGAAAGAAGCAAATTTTCCCAACCTAAAGAAACTTTAATATACATGTAATTGCATTTAACTATACCCCATTATCTTCTTTGTGTTTATTATTTAAGGGAAGTGTTATAATGTTATCATACCTATTAAGTAAAGCGAGCAAACTTAAATATTTCAATTTGACAAGATATTTCAAAGAAAATGTATAATTTTCCTATATGTGTAACTTTGTAAAGTCTATTCAGCTGTGGTCAGCTGACCATATTGTGGACCTTTAAACTATAAATGTTTGTATGCACATTTAAACTATAAATGTTTTGTATGCATGATTTCTGTTGATCACACACCAAATGTGCCCATCTTCTTGATTGCTATAAAGAAATCACTCACAAGTCATAATGTTGGTTCCATTTTGGATCCAATGAGTTTTTACAGGTATCTGTTGAATGGCATTGTCCAGATCCATCTACACTTATCTTGGAAAATGGATCAGGAAGACCTTAAATAAAAACATGGTACTTTTTAAACGTGCATGAGAAACATGACTTTTTTTTCATAACAGAAGAGAGACAACTCCTTTAATTTTCTTGAAAAAAAAATGGCCCCTTATTTTGTGATGACATGTAGATAAAAATTATGATTATGATACATTTAAAAATGACTTTTTCAAGAATGTTCTATTGAATTTCCATCGATAAGATGAATACATTATGGAGTTTGATGGACAACAAATATTAACATTTCATAGATGTTTACTTCACAAAACTAACAAAAAAATTCATCAGTTGCCCTGTTCCAATGAATACAACTATGATAACAACACTTTTTTTGTTCCAATAAAAACTATTGCTTATGCATTGTTTGATTTTCATTCCTTTTGCATAAAAATTGCATTACTGCATTTTCATTTCATAGTTGAACTTCAGTATCTTGAACTCTGATATCTCAAATACCACGGATATATCAAAGTGATTTGAAAGTCGCTACCACTATTTTTATTCACTGTATTCTGACCTCAATAACTCAAACTTTTGGATAAAAGTTTTTTCTCCAACCCATTAAGTTCAATGTAATATTGTTTGACTGTACTTCATTTTCCTCTTTCATATGAAATCCAACATTTAAAATTTTTCAGTTTTTAAAATCATCATAATTTTGACTAAGCAGAAAATTTTTTTATTGTTAATTGAAATATATATGCCAAGTTACCAACCTTTAAGAACAAAGAATAAGAATAAATGATTTCCTTAACAAAATTTAAATCATGATAACTAGATTATAACAAAGCTCTGAATATTCTATTTATTCAGGATTGTGCATAAGACTCAGGGGCCGGGAAATTTCACAGCCTATAATGACATTATACCCCCCCCCCCCCATTGTGACACTGTCCCCTCAACTCCCACTAGGAGAGGAACCCAAGACACCATTCTACTTTTAAAATGTCCCCTTCTATTTCAATTATTATCAACAACCCTGTTACTATATATGTTACTTACGGAAAAAGTCTTTCTTCGCCAAATTCTTTGCACATAGCACTAAAAGAAAAAAAAATATTTCTAAAAATTATTTCTAAAATGCATTAAAAACATACACATGATATACACACTGTACATACAATGAAATTTTAAATTACCAATCCACATACACTTTATGATTCTATTCAACATATCTTAGATAGAGTCCTCAATCCGTGCACACATTTGTCAAGCTAGCAAGTGTACAAGGAGTACATGCATTTCTGGAGTTTACCCAACCAATCATTGTCCAATCCAGGCACGGATCCAGGAATTGAAGTTAGGGGGGCACAAAAAGTAGAACCAGGGCTTCGTGGGTCTAGGGCGAAGCCCTGGTGGGGGTCCAGTGGGCGAAGCCCCTGGAAGCTCCTGGATTGTAGAGATTTTGTAGGGTAAAAATGAGGTCTATCAAGTAGACATTTTTACATTTTCTTAACGAAACTATGATTCATGCTAACTTGGCGTGCCCCCCTTAAATCCGCCACTGCAATCATCCTCATGAAAGCAGAATAAATACAATTATAAGGCTAGATAAATTATATGAAACTTTGTGTCCTATTCTAACCTGGAAAAAAAATTGGATAGGTAGGTAGAAAAAACATTTTATTTTAACAATTTATTAATTAACTTCAACAACAAACAATATTTTATAAGAGAAACAATGTTCACTTCTTTTCCCCAAAAGGACAGCTTACGGTTCCATTCATCCCGGGAAATCACTGGTGAGTATAGGATGTTTTGTAAAACAAAGAAATGACAGAGATAAGGAACCAGAATTTCTACATCCAGAAAGTATACAACATCAGAAAGATGTCCAGGGTTAGCTCAGTCTTGGAACACGCACTACTTATTTATCTAGACCTCATCTGAATATATTAAAGGTCTAATTATCCAACTTGACAGAAATAAAATTACTGACTCATATGAGGACAATACTGTCATTTGGGTACTTGAGAATGACAACATTTACCAAATCCCAGGGGTGAAATGAATATTGTTCTCCAAATAGCTAATTGATTGTACTGAACACAATCTGAGGGGTTTTTTTTCTTTTAAATTAAAGAGCATATTGTTTAGTAGATCATCAAATCAAACAGTTGAATAGTAATACATGTGGCATGTACATGTTGAAAGTCTGATAGTCCTGCTTGAAGTGTTATTCTATATAAATGACATCAAAATTATTGGTTGAAATCATCCACCCATACAAGAAATGCTGTTAGACTTCCAATATATATATTACAGACTGAGAGCATAAAAATACTTCATTTTGATAACATTGTTATCAAAATTCTCGTAGTCGTATTTATTTCCCTGACCTGTAAACTGTATGCAAGCATTTTAAAAGGGACACACTCTCCAATCAAAACTTCCCAGACCTTGGGTCTAAGCTGTGATATAAGGCACACATGTGATAAATTGGTACTGTCTAAGATGAAATAAAATTGTGCTGATTCAACATCACCCATCCTCTGAATACCATCATATGAATATGCTTATAATTAATTGATTTTTTATATACTGACGATATTACAGTATTAATTCAAATGCAATGTAACCAATTAAATTATATTTACAATAGATTAGGCTGTAATATGAAATTTCAATTGAAAAGAATAAAACTTTTTTGATTACTAAAAAAAAAATTATATTTTCTAAAAACTGGTGTAAAATTCATCAAGTTGGCGAAATTCAGTACCTGGGAGAGGACACATTATTGAAATGTAGGCCTAAAAATCTTTACCAAAGTTACACCACCCACCTCACCACCAGGCATGCCTAGCTTGTCAACTTTTCAAGTATTTCATAAATTCGTATGTTATTTATTTACAAGTCATATGTGAAATGCAAATTGACGAGCTAAAATATCTTAATTCATATTTGTTTACAAGAAGACTAGCTTGTCTGACTCAGATTAAATCACCTGTGAAGAGATGAGATCAGCCATATCATTCGCTGACAGAGTGTCTACACCACGAGTATTATACAAATAAGAATTCCCTCTCTAAAATTTTCACATTTCCCACAATAATGATGATACAGAAATTTAAAATATACATCAAACATTTTTATAAGAAATGAATGAATACAACGAGTTTAGACAGGGCAGCCATGTTTTACTTTCATTGTATTCAAAGATGGTATATCCGATCATTGAAGCATACCTGTTAATCTGATCTTTTGGACATGTCGTCTAGGCTCGTTACTAGCCATATCTTTTTGTGGAATTCATATTCATTCCTTTGTCATAGTCTGTCTCTCATTTCCCGTTGTTGTCTTCTTGTCTCTCATGCAAATGAGCTAAACTAGACAACTTCCGGTTACTGGCTACCGTTGGGAATGTGCTAATGAGCAGGTAGTCCCCGGAAGGCCGCCACCGTAGTAGTTGCAACAACTTACAAAGGATTAGAACACTCTTTTGGGGGAAAATTTTTTTCTTTTACATTACTATGCTTAAATAACAAAGTTTTAGAAGCAAAAGAAGCATTGCACAAATTGGCAAAGGCCCAGGACGTCATTGACACAATAAGGAAGGATATAAACAAACTTATTTGCACTTCTATCACATGAAAGTAGACAATACTTCATGTACTTAAGAATTCCTAAAAGAATTTTTGAAAAGGCTTACATTTTTGTAGAGTTTTGTGTATATACTTAGCTTTTCAAATGGATTTTAATTTCTTTTATTTATTTACCATGTTTATACAATGGCATCATATAACGAAATTCAAAAGTTTACATTCATTTGGAGATTTTATGTACAAACTCAACTTTTTAGTTTCGTTAATTTATTTACCATGTTTACAGTGACATCGCAAACGGATAGTATTTTTTTTTTGTTTACATAGCATTACAATTGTTCCATCCTTATACGTACATCAGTGTCCTGAGTCCACTATGTGGGACGGGTCGTCCCGAAAGACCATTCGCGCTGAGACGTTCGCCTCGAGACGATTCGCGCCAGAGGTCAAGTACACAATGATTTTCTTTAATTAAGTGGTAATTATCCCTTGTTGGTAGTAATTATTAACTTAAATAGTGACTTTCGTATTATTCCAAGAACCATTCTGTATTTAATTTACTTATAACTACAAATGTATTCTATATTATTGTCTTCATTAAATAAAGTATCACACAGCTTGTGAACACGGCCAAAGAAGAAAAAAAAAAACATTGACCTCTGAAAATATCAGAGAAGGATCATGTGCCTAGGAGATGTAAGCATTCCCTGCCGCGAGCCCCCTGTAGGTAAACGGAGTAATCCATTGTTAAAATTAGTATGAAAGCAATGGCCCAACACAAAGGCTGACACAGCGCCGGGCGTGCGCCCCCCCCCCCCGGTTTGAATTTTTTTTTTGAAATTTTATTTGTATATTATCTTAAAATCAAGCGAAAAAACACCTGGACCCCCACCAGCGCTTTGCTCTGGACCCGCTGGGGGCTTCAATGCAGCCCCCAGACCCCCTGCCTTCTACTACGCCCCCATTATGAAATTCCTGGATCCGCCGCTGCAACAATTGGTAAGAAAAAAAAAGTCAGTTAAAATACGACCCATCTGTATATTGTATTTGCAAACAAGGTCATTATAACTACCTTAGACTTTGCGAAATATGCTGACTTGGTGAAAGCCCTGTAACATCAACTTTTTTGTCAGTGTCCTGTCTCATTTAACAGAGCATGCTCTTGCATACAGAATCAGATGGGAGACTTAAACACCATATGCAGGTGAAAGTGGATTGTTACTACATGTATAATTAAGGGAAGTTGACGAGGAAAGCTGAAGTCGTCCCGTCTGTCCTATACTTAAGTTACAGTGTATTAGCTACATGTATCCATTAATGTCAGTTTTTTGTTTGTATGTATGTTGTTTAACGTCCCTCTCGAGAATTTTTCACTCATATGGAGACGCCACCACTTGCCGGTGGAGAGCTGCAAATTTTGTCCTATACTCGGCACTTACGGCCATTGAGCAGTGAGGGATCTTTTTCGTGCCAGCACCTACTGCGACACGGGACCTCGGTTTATACGGTCTCATCCGAAGGACCGGTCTCCACGTCCCACAGTGGGATTCGAACCCGCGACGTAAGGATCAATTCCTTACTCCGCGACTCTAGAGCAGACGCTCTAACCACTGAGCCACGCGGGCGACCATTAATGTCAGTAAAACATTCAAATATGAAACACATGTGGTGCATTCTGTTGTGTCTATTATTTTGAGTACACTGGTATATATCGAGTCGACATTCGAATGAAAATAACTGCAAGTGTATTGTTAATTGACAAAACGTCGTCGATATAGTTGAAGGCCACAGCAAGAGTTTCTTCTTATGTAGAAGTTTTAAAATAAATTCTGCTTCAAAAGAATATTAAAAACAGGTAGACTAATAAAGGGGCATAATTAGTGCCCTTCGAATTCCAACAGATTGTTGGAAGACTTGGTCTCCAATGACTACAAGGATATTGTCAATGAGGAACTCCGGCATCTTAATGATATCACTTTTAGAGTGCTCGAATGTAGAATCAGAATGATTCATAACAATATAATAATAAACAATAATGTTATAGATGACTAATTACAGGATATGAAAGTTTCCGAGTTCCATTAGATTTTTTTTGTTTTTTATTTTTTTTAAGAAACTAATTTGTTTATAATGTCAAAAAGCCAGGGGCCTGTTTTACAAAGAACTTACGACTAAGACCAAAACTTAATTCTGCTGATAACCTACTGGTTTACATTAAATTGAATATTGTTTTAATCTTTGAAAAAGGAGTGTAGAAAGATAATTTTACGCTGACAATTTTAAATCATTTTGCAAAATTTTACAATCAACTTAAGTTTTTGGTCTTAGTCGTAAGTTATTTTGCAAAACAGGCCCAAGTCTTTAGATTATCCTGAGGAATAGTTGTCCGAAATACGAAGATATGGAATATTGATCATGCTCAAAAGTCCAAATAAACTATACAAATTGAGAGCAGAGCAATCACGGACCCCGAAAGCTTCAGAGGTGGGATCCGGTGCCATGGAGGAGTAACCATCTCCTGTTGACCGGTTACACCCGCCGTGACCCTTTGTCTTGATAAGGTAAACAGATAAGTGCGTAGTAAGTTCAGTATGGAAATAATGGCCTAACAATTTGTTATATAAAAAGTCAGTCAAATTCGATCTAAAGACAGGTTGTATTTGGAAACAAGGTATCGACCATAGAATTTGCGAAATATTGACTTTAAACGAGATTGTTGATACGCTTGTAACATCAGCTTACTTGTAAGTATCCTGCCTCGGTTTAGAACATGCTCTTGCGTATCGAATCAACTTGGAGATATAATTAATATATTCATTTGGTGTTGGTATATTACTACATGACGATAGAAAAGTTGAAGCCGTCACGTTTCACATAAAGTTTAATTCTTAGTTTGCCATCCATGGCTTTCTCTAGTAAATCATCCAAATATGAAGCAGATGTGTCAGACTCTGTGATGTCTTTTATTTTGAATTCTGTGGGATATATTAAATCAATGTATTACGAAAAATGAATATTATTAGTTGATAGAACATCATCGATATATCTACATTTTCTTCTTTTCATGTAGAATGTTTTAGAAGTGTTTGAATAAATTCAAAAGTTGTCATTTCAAATTTTTTAAAAACTTCTTTGGATTTCTAAAAAAAAATCCACATTTAATTTACACCACTTCTTGAATAATCGTATCAAATACGTCGAAGTTTCTACTTCAACTGTTAAAATTTTTTAGAGGAATAAAGATAGGGGCTTGGTAAAACATTGAGGCCTAGCAGACCCTTTAATGTAACTTTGGTTGCAAGGATTTTTTTGAACCTTAGTATAGGTATGGTAATGCAAATTAACTCCCGTTGAATGGGTTATTAAAAGAAGTTAAACTAAAACTTTATTTTAACAAAAAAAAAATCATCCTTTGAGAGAAAACGATGGGTTTATAGTTGGAATACAAGAAATGTTATTAAACCCAAGTTCTTCTAAAATTCAGTTGTATGTTTATTTAAACAAAGAACATGTTTCATTAAATCCATTCTCCATCAACCGCTGTGCATATGGTAACGTAAAATATTTGGGAAAACTGAGTATAATCAATGATAAAATTATACGACAATTAAAATACACATGTACTATTGTGTCACAAAGTTAGAAGTATCTTGTTTAATATCTTGAACTTTCTTAAGTTTGAGGACAGAAAACTGAGCAATCGATAGAAAAGAGGTCATGAAAAGTACCAATGTAAGTAAAAACGCGAATTCTTTAACAAAATAATAATACGTGTGTATTTTAACTGTCAACAAAGTGCAAAGCAAAGCATTTCCGTGGAACAGGATTTTATTCGAAGATCACAGGAATCAATAGGCTTCTGGCAATGATACTTCTCTGGACCCTCAAATTATTAGATTTCTATCCCTGATCGTATTAAGACAGAAAGGTCAAATTACTAAACACGTATGATTCCAAATATTGTCGCACATACTTGTAGTTTCAGGCCGCTTACAAAATTTCCCTTGTAATTTGTGGGGAGAGAATACGGAAAGAGAAAAGAGAAATCTCTTTTAAAGCATTTTGTATAAAACATACACATCACAAGAGATTGTGTCGTCTTCCTCATTTTCACTCGAATTTTTGTCGCCAAATAAGTACCACAATACATAAGTGCAAGAACTATATCTGTATGTAAAGTTCGTACAAGTGTCTCATAAATTCCTATACACACACCGCTGTATTCTTCCTTTTAATAAGAAATGAACTTCACAAAACGTGCCGCTTATTAAGCATCAACGTAATTAAGTTACACTCAAAGGAATACATAATCCGAAACGTTTCGATATACCAAAAAAGAATACGCATATACTGTATACAGGATTTATTTTCGCCCTGAGCTATTTTCCCCCTTACTCAGTTGAAAACAATTTTGCAACAATGTTAAATTCGCCCAGAGAATCAAAGCGAGACTGAAAGTAGAACATCGTTTACAGAAAAAAAAACAGAACCATCAATAGAATGAAAAGGTTTCATTAGATACAAAAGTCTTTTCAGTTATAAATTTTCTTTAAACCTTTCTTCACCAATGCATTTTCAATGCATGTGTCATACTTGCAGAAAATCACTAGAATTTGATGAAAATATGCAAAAGTACGTACCATACATGCATTTCTTTAATTAGTTGCTATACAGATGCAATGTTATTTGAGAAATACTGGTTAACTGTCCATGGATAAATATTTAATTCCTATTATTGATATCAAAAATTCTAGACTTCTATACTGACCTCAAGAAAAACTAACTAAACAGCATCGCCTCGTTTTTGAGAACA